AATGGAAAATATTGAAGTACCCAAAAAACAAAGACATCAATACTAAAATCATTAGCATTGGTATTTGTAAGTTCAAGGTCCAATTCATTTCTTTGATGATTAATAAAAGAGAAAAGAGGCGTAAAAATTAAAATTCCATTTTTAATATTTTTTATTAATAATTGTCGATCATCTTGATAAAATAATTTTTAATCACAGATTGAAAATTTCAATTTCAATCCAATCTCAATCCAATCAAATATTCAATCTCAATCTTAATAGAAGTGGGTTAATAAAGAAAAGAAGAAAGAGATAGAGAGTGAAGTTGATGAAGATAATGAAATAAAGAAGATACAAATATTAATAATATTATTGTTATTGATAATAATAGCAAGACTAATAGTTATATTTTTGTCAGAGTGCCCAAATTAATTGTAACAATTACATTATGATCTATCAATAAAAAAAATTTTTTTTTAAAACTAATTTTTAAATTTTAAAAAATGTATGAAATAATTGTAACCAAATTAGAAATAACAAGATGAGAGTATAGAAAGGCAGAAACGAAGTTGAAGGAATTTAAAGAGGGGGAGAATGATGTGAGATGGTTGGAAGAGTTAAAGTGAAAGATAAGAAGTGATCAATTTCTCAAGTGTAAACAAAATTTGGAATTTTCAAAATGCTAAGGCTCAGCCAATTTTTAAATTTTTTTGTTTTAGTATTTTGAAGCCAACCAATTTTTACCTAATATTAATATTAATATATAAGATTATAGATGATCTGCACTGTATTTTTATTTTAAGTTCCAAAATCAGAGAAATTCTTAAACTTTTCTCATTCCAATAATACTTCAATTTTTCTTTGAAAAAGAATTCACAAGGCTAATCTGATTTGCAACACCCAATGATACAATGCAATGCAATTAAAGTTCGGAGGTGGCTCCAAGCCTTGGAATTGCATCATACTCTTGATTTTCCCTTGCAGTACTTTGACCTGGAAAATGCAAGGAAGGTACAAATCATGAGATAAAATGTCATACAAATATGAATTAATATTAACAACATTAATGTTGAAACTTTCAAATAATCTATCAATATTTTTATTTCTTAAAACTATTACTATATATTATAAATATTTATCATTATATATCAAACTTCAACCTGTGAAGCAACAATAAAAAAAGAGCAATTGGAAATCAAATAATAGATAAATAAATGGACATATAAAAAATGAAGATTTACTTTTTTAGGTGTTGCCAATGTCTTTCTTGTCATTGATATCCACATAGTTGGAGTTTGGTCACCAGTTTGCAATGGTGAGAAAGGGGAACCCTTTTGATATTTTCTTCAATTAAATCCTGTAATTGAAGAATAATAAACTGTGTAATCAATAAAATGCAATTAACACTGAAAGTCATAAAAAATTACCTTTAAATTCTTCATTTCACAAATGCAATATTCAACAAGACTTAGACTTAAATTACTTCTTGGGAGTTCAAATTCACCCAATAAATACATCCTGTAGATACCATCATAGACAAGATCCATTGCATATATTCGCACATTATATCCTATTGCAAGTGTGTAAGATACAGCTTGTGACGTGTCCAATAAAATATACAAGTCCAATAATATATAAATCTATATCCCCCTATCTTCACACACAGCTAAGGGTTCCTAAATTCCCAACTCCTCTGTCTTTGCACACAGCTAGGAGCCTTCCCAACTTATTTTTACTGCACAGTTCCTACTCTACAGTACTACACTAGCCTAAGATAATGAAGTAAATGATAAATATGCACTGTTCTAGCTAAGGCATCCCCTAGGTAGAGTAGTTTTAATTAAAGTGAATGGGTTTTCAGTTAAGTTTTGCTAAAGGTTTATTTTCTAAGGATCAGATTATTTATCATAAAGGTAGAATGTTCCAAATGTGGTTTCAATGAAACTAACCAATGAAATTCAATTACATCTCATGCAAATAAATTTCATATCAATTGAAGATCTACATCGGAACCACATTGGAACGTCTAATGTTCCGATTGAACAACACTGGCCATACGTTTCACGAATTAATAAATAAACTGGCCACATGATTTTATTAAATTTTTGAAATTTTGGCTGATGGCGCAGAAAATGGTGGCTTAGCGAAAAAAAAATTTGTAAATAAATCCGGAATAAATCGTAAAACCTGGTTCTTTTGTATTTTTGTATTTATTATTATTATTGCCTTGATTAGTATTAATTAGTATTGTACCAACTAGTACGAAATATAACCAATCAATATATTAATTAATATTTTCGTAGTGCAAGACGCCCATTTATTATTAAATATAAAGTATTTCTACTTTTTATTGAATCTTACCCATTCAAAAATCAAAATATCATGTTTAAAAATAAAACTCATATGGTAAAAACGGTACCTGTAGAAAATAAGGAAGTAACGGCAAACTCATTACATGATGCAGCTTTACTCATTGTAGAAATCTGCGTTTTAATCCAATATTTAGCCCGGAAGAAGTCTCGTTGGGAACTGTTGATGAAACGAGTAAAAAGGCTTCAAACTATACTTGAATCTGCAAAAAGTATCCATCTTGCTCCATTAACTTTGAAGAATTATCTTCAAACTCTGGGAGAGATTCAAGATTACCTTAAGTATAAAAAATGGTACAATGGTGTAAGTTTATATATCTGAAATTTGTATACCAATTCTTTTAGAAACCTATTAGTTTGTTCATTACTGACGTTTTCCCTTCATTCTCTCCTTTTTACTCTAGGATAGAACCGCTGAATTCGACATTACACTTAGCCAGCTTCATGAAGAGTTTGAACTTGAATTCCTTACTAATAGTTTGACCGGGTTTGATTCTAAATAATAATTTTGACAAATTTTCACCAGTAAATCTTTTTTCACATAAAACCTTTAATAAATTTTACAAATTTTTTTATTTATGTAAATTCTTAACTATACAAACACTTTATTTTCAATTTTTACAAATTATGCAAAAGATTATACCGATTTCATGATACAAGTTGTCTAGAAATAGATTTTAAAAAAAAATTTGAATACATTAAGTTATAAGGAAAGGCTATTACTAAAAACGACACAGCCTATATAGGATGAAAAAAAAAGCTAGGCTAATATTTTTACTATCCACCCATACCCTAATCGCTTTCATTGTACGTGGTTGAATGTTTATAAAATTTATTTACATAGTAAACCCAATAGTCCAATTCGTTTCTTTAAATACAACGTGACATACATTCGATGAAGTATGCATCTTCTATCATAAGACAACAGACTTTACGGTTTATGGATATATTAGTATATACACATAATTTTTGACTCACGAAACATTTAACCCTGAGACCTTCTTACATTGAGAAAACGAATCACCAAGTATTTCCTTAGATTCCGATTTCCTTCCATATTATCATAGAGCTGCACTAAGATGTTTTCGATCTCGAAAAATTTCTAGTCACAGATACAGTACAGTAACTTGATTTTCTTACTTATCTAATTCCTCAGTAAGTTTACGGCTATTTACATACAAAAATACACACATGTGATAACAAAGATCAAATCCGGGTTATCCCAGTGAAAACCATTGAGCTCAATTAATGAACATCTATAAACAGAAAAAAAATATGAATAGTTATTGGACGATTAAGTGCAAGTACATATATATACACTAATATATAAGTGACAAGTAAAATCTAATAAATTAGATAAGCTTCGGTTTATATAATGGATTATTTTTAGGTTTGCTTAATATTATCTTTTGTTTGATTTAATGATGATTTTGTTTTTAATCCATTTTGGAATTTTTTTAATTTTGCTAATTATTTTATCTTCAAATGTTTACAATGACGAAGTAAAGGAGTCCAAATGGTTTTGAGAATGCTACCTCATTAACAACTAAAAAAATTATATTACTATCATCGTAAATGATTTTGTTTATAATCGAGAAATTTAACTATATAATTAATAAAAAATCATATAATATATTAGCTGAAATCCACTTATTATAGGCACTGGTTCCTCTCCCACCCGAGATTTTGACTTGCAATAAAATTTCATTAGAGACCTAATCATACCGTTACCACATATTCTTTCATCTTAAACAGAAACTTTTTCTCAAAATAACCTAAACTCATAATTGATCATGAACTGGAGTCCTTGTTTGACCAAACTTTAGTTAGCCGTAAAATTCATTCTAATTCTATTGAAGACTTTGATTTTTTACTCATCAATTTCACAAGACCTTTTAAATTTATTAATTCAAGAGATGCAGAATATATATAATCGTGCAAAAATAAAAGTTACTGCCTGATCAGACTTAAGTCCCAGAAAGGTTGTAAATATTTTTGAAAATCAAAAATTATTGGGTTAATAAGTTTTAATTATTTGCAAAAAATATTAATTCTTTTTAACAAGCTTCTTGATAAAAATTACAAAGTGGTAGGATTTTATGTAGTATCATACATACATGAATATAATGGTTCTAATGAATACGAAAAGGCAATTAATTTTTAGAAAAAGGTTGCTCGGCAATTATTACGTGAATCCTTTCAAACCTTTTCCACGTCTAAACAAGGCATATTTTAATGGGCCAACTTAAAGCAATGAATGGTGGCGGAGAGAATTTGCAGGACTTACTGGAAGATATCTAATAAACAATGGTCTTCTAACAAAAGTTCATGGGTAAATTAAAAGAATGCATTGATGGAAAACAAAAATGTTAAAATGTAAAAAATTTCCTTGGAAATTATCATGTTTTATTTAATTTTTTGAAAAATATAATAAATTTTTTTAATAAATAATAATAATAATGAATCTTTTATGAGTGACAATGAAAATATGAAAATGAAAATGAAAATGAAATATGAAAATGAAAATGAAAAATGTTTTTTTAAAAAATATAGTTTTGAATTATGAATAATAACAACAAAATAAATTAATTTACACATTTTAATTAACAACCACAATCCATCTTTTAACCAACTACCAATCTAATTTTTTATCGCCACAGCCAACACTTTCACAACCTACAATAATTTCATCTTTATTTACACGTGTCTTTTTATGATCATTTTTAGTAATCATCAATTTTCGGGTTCCAAGTAAATTATCCAATTGATGAGTTGGAGGCAAATGCAACCAAATAGAATCATCTTCAATCTTCAAATCAAAAGTCATCAATTTCAATTCAGCGTCACCTGACAAACATTCACCACTTTCCAACGAGAAGTTTTTCTTGTGCATTGGACAACTAACTTTAACAACCCCGTTTTCATCATCACCAAGTATTCCATCCGCTAACACGAAAGCTCTTTTGTGCGGACACATGTTTTGTGTCGCGTACCATTGGGTTTTATCGTGTGAATTGAATATTGCAATTTGAGTGTCACCATATTTTATAACTTTACCGGAATTATCTGGGAATAAATCAATTGGTGCAATTTTTACCCAAGATTTTCCAGTTAATTCACTTTTACCATTGCTTACGACATCGTTGTTGCCATTACTCATTGATGGTTGTAATACTGATACATCTTTTGGCCAATCCGCTGGTCTTTTTTGTCCACGTTCTGTGATTATTTCAATTGAAGCTTGCGTATCCTCCGTGTTAACAAACTGCCTAAATTCGCTACGACGCTTTGGATCTTTGACTACTTGTGCCCATTCACATTGATATGTGTTGATAAGTCTTTCCATATCTTTTTCCAATTCTTCACATATTCCAAGATGATCATTAATAACTACTTTACGTAAATACTATAAAAAATATACATTGGTACAATAATAATAATAAATAAAGATTAAAACCAAATTTCAATATATATTCATATATAATACAATAAATTTAATATTTACATCAATTCCGCCTTCCATTTTTTCAAGCCATCTAGCAGTACGTGTTAATCTATCAGCAGTATGAATATAATACATTAAAAATCTATCCAAGTACTTTATACATAATTCTTCAGGTACATCTTTAGCCAATAAAACAGCATGTTTAGGTTTAGCACCACCATTACCACAAACATAGACATTAAAACCTTTATCAGTTGCAATCAACCCAAAATCTTTTCCTTGAGCTTCGGCACATTCTCTTATACAACCGGAAACACCACCTTTCAATTTATGCGGCGATCTGATACCACGATATCTATTCTCAATACGTATAGCAAATCCAACCGAATCACCAATTCCATACCTACACCATGTCGAACCAACACATGACTTCACGGTTCTCAATGCTTTGCCATAGGCATGACCAGATTCAAAACCTGCATTGACAAGATCTTCCCACACGTAAGGCAAGTTTTCTCTAGTACAACCAAACATATCGATACGTTGACCACCGGTGATTTTGGTGTACAGGCCGTATTTCTTGGCAATTTCACCCATTGCAATGATCTTCTCCGGTGTTATTTCACCACCAGGCACACGAGGAACAATTGAATAACTACCACCACGTTGAATATTGGCCAAAAATTTATCATTTGTATCTTGAAGATTTGCATGATCAAGAATATGATCGTTCCATAAACTGGCTAGAATGGAAGCAATGGCTGGTTTACAAACTTCACATCCCATTGAACCTTTCTTGCCAATCTTTTCAATGATTTCCTTGAACGTTTTTAATTTTTTAATTTTTATGATTTGGAATATTTCGACTCTTGTCTGGGAGAAATGTGGACATAAGGATTGCTTGACTGTTTCACCCATTGATTTCATTTGTGCCTGGAAGATCTCAGTCACCAGTGGCATACAACCACCACAACCTGTACCAGCTTTTGTGCATGATTTGATTTCACCAACTGAGCGACACCCGTTCTCTTTAGTGATAGCATCACGAATTTGACCTTTTGAAACGTTGTTGCATGAACAAACTTGTGCCTCGTCAGGTAAATCATCGATCGATTCAGCTGAAGAGCCTTTCACACCGAGAATCAATTCACCTGGCTCAACGGTTAGGGGTTTTTTTGATTTACAGAGCGCGTGGAGTTTGGTATAATCATTTGTATCACCAACCATAATACCACCCAACAAATGTTTACCATCTTTTGAAAACATATATTTTTTGTAAATAGCCCCAAATGGATCCGTATACACCAACCCATTTGCCACATCACTGCTAGCAAAATAATTACCAAAACTTGCAACATTTACACCCAACAACTTAAGCTTGGAGGATAAATCACCACCTTTGAATAAGATATTTGAGGATTCGAAGCATAAATTCTTTGCCAAGACTTCGGCCATTTCATAACCAGGTGCCACCAATCCGTAAATCATTCCTGCATGCAATGCAACTTCACCAATGGCAAATACGTGTGGATCATTTGTTTGCAGTTTGTCATCGATTAAGATGCCACCTCTAGGATGAGAAATTATGTTTGAACCTTTTACAACATCATCACGTGGTTTAATACCAGCTGCCACAACTATCATATCAAACGATGCTTCTTTACCATCCTCAAATAAAACCCCCTTTGTTTTGTTGTTATCATCCACGATTATTTCTTTTGGTCCATTGCTCACCCAAGATTCGATATTCAATTTGGCAATCTCATTGGCCAACATCTTTCCACCCTTTTTATCCAGTTGTCTAGCCATCAATCTAGGATTTCTTTCGAGGATCGTGACTTTCAATCCCAAATCCATTAACGCCTTTGCAGCTTCTAAACCAAGCAGACCACCACCAATCACTGCCGATGTTTTACAATTTTCAGAGTAGGCGATGATATCGTTCAAGTCATCTATTGTACGATAAACAAAAACACCCGTCTTGTCAATGTTTTTTATCGGGGGTCGCCAAGCATACGAACCAGTTGCTATAACACATTTGTCATAATTTATCACGTTGCCTTTTGAGGAGATGACTTGTCTTGATGAGTTGTCGATTTTAACAACTTTGTCTTCCATGAAAAGTTGAATGTTGTTTTTTTGGTACCAATCAAATGGCTGCATGATCAATCTTTCACTTGATCTATGTGTAAAGTATTGAGTCAATCCAACGCGATTATATGCGACTGTGAGATAAATGGAGAAGGGTAGGAAGGAAGACGAGCGTGTGAGTGATTAGAACATACAAAGAATGAAATAATAAAAATTTAAAAAAATCAGAGGTTACCTACCTATTGGTTCTTCACAAAATGATACAATATTATATTGTTTATTTCCTTCGTATTGTACTAATTTTTCAATGAAATTCAATCCAACCATTCCAAGTCCAACGACAACGATAGTTTTTTTATTATGATCAAGTTGAGTCGACGACATTTTGTAACGTTATGTTTTTTTATAATAATAAAGGTAATTTGATTGGTTGATTGAAAAGAATGTATTAAGGAAGAAGATTATGATCAAGAAGAAAATATTTAGTAAAGTTAATTTAATCTATTAAGTTAATAATAATTGGTTATAATTATTATAATTCAAAAATAATGTTTAAAATAAAAAATTTTAGAAAGAAAAAAAAATTTTTTTAAAAATGAATTTCTTCACTCGAAATTCTTTAAATATTAATAATTCTTTTGAATAAGATTATTAATTAATCAAAAGATTCCGACTCATTTATTTATTGTTTGTTTGATTCTCTGGCTAGAAGTTATGTAACAACAAAAAAAAGATCATTTACTTTAAATAATAAATAATTTCCGTAAAATTTTAGAGATAAGGTGAATTACAAGAAAAAATTTTTTTTTATATTTTCCAATTTAATCGATAAGATAAAGTTTAAAAAATTTTTATTTCTGTTGATTATTTTAAAAAAAAATTTTATTTATATGAGTTACTTTTAATTTTATAATAAAGTTCATATAAATTCTCTTATCAACAAAATGGAAACAATAAATTAGAAATTTCTTTTTAGAGCGTTAGCATCTGAAACCACGTGAGCTCTAAAAAGATTTTTTGTGGTTATCGACAATCGTGGTTGTTACACGGTGAATTCTTTTAAATTTGCGGTAAATCGCGCGAATTAAAGTTCTTCACTTTTTTGCAATTTTTCTTATTCTTTTAATTAATAATAAGTTGATGAGGAAAAAATATAACTAAATAATAAATAATAAAGCAAAAATAGTCAAATTTTTTACGATTTTAAAGACTTGTTTTTTCCACAAAAAAAAATTTTATTTTCTTTAAATTTTATCCCTCTTCTCTCTAAATATACAATAATTTAATAATTTATTTAATAATTTATAAAGATGGGTATAAAACAATTGTTCGAAAGTCCTTTACCGGTCGACAAAATTACTGACAAGGCAACAGCAATTAATTTAAGATCAATCGCACGACCTTATATGAGAGCATTTCATTTTTCATGGATGGGATTTCTTACCGCGTTTACCGGATGGTTTGCCATACCACCTTTATTGGTGACAATCTCAGAAGATTTGCAATTATCAAAAGATCAAGAAGCCAGTACTAACATAGCAGCTGTCTCATCTACAATACTATTTCGTATATGTGCCGGACCATTGACCGACAGGATCGGACCTAAGCGAGTTATGGGATTATTGCTGATAGCGGGTTCCATACCAATTGGATTATCTGGTTTGGTTACTGGGTTTGAGGGATTGGTTGTTGTAAGAATTTTCATTGGTATTCTTGGTGCAACATTTGTGCCATGCCAAACCTGGACCACACATATGTTCAACCGTAACATTGTTGGTAGCGCCAATGCGTTAGTAGGTGGATGGGGTAACATGGGAGGTGGATTGACATATATTTTGATGCCACTGGTATTTGGTGGATTGCTTAATCAAGGATTGTCAAAACACGACGCATGGCGTGTAGCTATGGTCATACCAGCATGTTTATGTATTATGGTTGGAATTGGTTGCTTATTATTTGTTGATGACTGTCCACAAGGCCAATGGAGAGATCACAAACCACCTGCTGAAGAAACTAATGTCATTGAAAAAGAAATACAAACAGTTACTGTTACCGATGATTCCAAACCAGAACCTACCAAACCTGTAATCGAAGAAGAAAAACAAACTGATAACCAAGTTTACAAGAAAGGCGCTGACACTAAATCAATCATAAAGAAATTTTTATTAGCATTAAAAAATCATAATGTAATAATATTAATGTTAATGTATGCATGTTCATTTGGAGTGGAACTTGCGGTGGACAATGTTATTGGTATATTCTTTGCCGGTCAATTTGGTCTTGATCAACATACTTCATCATATATTGGATCATCATTTGGTCTGATGAACCTTTTTTCACGTGCAAGTGGAGGATTTCTTTCTGATTATGCAAATTCCAAGCTTGGTATTCGCGGCAGATTGTTAACCCAATTTTTGATTTTATTTATGGAAGGAGTGTTCTTGATTGTTTTCAGATTTTCACTTGGCTCATTGTCATCAGCCATTGTAGTTCTCATTATTTTCAGTTTTTTCACGCAGGTGAGAATTTATATAATTAATTTATTAATAATTATGATTTATTATATATCCCAATTCTCTAATAAATTTTCTCTCTCATCTCACAGGCATGTTGCGGTTCTTCATTTGGTATTGTACCATTCGTAGATCCTGCTATAATGGGAGCAGTTTCCGGATTGGTGGGAGCTGGTGGAAATATAGGAGGATTTTTCTTTAATTATGTGTTCAAATGGTATGCTTACGATAGACCAACCGGATTTTTAGTATTAGGAATAGCCGTTTTGGCCGTTTCATTTACCACATTTGCTTTGAGAATTGAACAAACTATGTTATTAACAAGAAAATAATTTCGAATATTTATGATGATTTTTTCTATGATTTTTTTTTTTTTTTATTTAAAATAATTATTATGTATATTACTTAAAATTTTTTCATATTAATAAAGTTAGTTATAAAACTTAAAAAAATTCGTGGGAACATTTGAATTATATAATCAATCAATCAAAAAAATGTTAACAAATATTTATGAAATGATGTGTCATCACCAGGAGATGTTTCGATAACTGAAGCTTTGACATAAATAGTAATAATCCTTTCATTTATATCACAATTTGACGATCACTTGTGATAATTAACTTTTACTTTTTTATTAATACGAGGCATTAACGTAATATGAAATGAACTTGATATAAATTAAAAATTAAAGTACATGTAATAATAACGAATTATATATTAACATATACAGTCACTCTCTATATAATAATAACGGAAAAAATGTCCGTTATAGAAAGAATCCGTTATAGCAGTAATGATTTATATGGCTTAATTCTCAGTCTGTTTTATAGATCAAGATCTGTTATTATTATTATTATTATTACTATAGAAAAATCCATTATAGAGAGAGTAGAGTGTATAATATATTTCACATACAAACAAAAGAAAAAATTTTTTATAGAACTCATATTTTATTTATTTGAAAATGAAAAGGATGCACTAAAGTCGCTATTTATTTACATAATGTAAAAGAGATGCGGTTTATTCCATTGATTACATATGACGTGGAAATTTGCATTCTTTATGTGAATTACTTATGAAATATATATATATGTAAATGAACTTTATTAATTGTATAAAAGAAAAAATTAATAATTTTATAAATATTGCATGTGTGACCATAATACTTTCCATCTTTGATAATATTCAAAGGTGATATTAGATATTAGAATCATATACTAAATACACTATGAGGAACATATTGGTAGTATGATCTCATGTAATACTATTTTTTAAGAACTTATTATATGGATCTTATATTATTATGTTAAACATAATAATCGATTCAATAAACATTTAGTTATTTTTAAAAAAAAGACGTTCGTAAATTCTTTTATAATGTAAATGTGATAATTGCAAACGTCAGTCAAAATTATGAGACTATGTAAAAAATCCGGCCCACATGTTTTAATAATACGGGGCAGAATTATAAACCTCCCCATCTCTAGCATATCCGTCCATCCATTAATATTATTAATATGTTCATTATGTTCATAGTGCCCATAAATGTAATAATGCGATAGATAATTTATTATCTTGAAGATCCCCCAAAGAACTTATGTATTTTTTTGTCAGAAAGAGTAGGAAGATTGATAAGATAAATAAGATAACCAAAAAAAAATTTTTTTTCAATGGATTTAGTTAGTTTAATTACCGATGAATGTTTTGGCAAGAAAAAAGGATAATTTCTTCGTTTCTGATTTCTCCCTCACTCTCTTTTCCCAGTTAATTCAGCTTGGAAAAAAAAAAGATAAGATATACCACATAAATAAATAATATAATAAATAATATAATAATATATAGTTGATAAGCAAAATATATAAATAACACTTTGTTTGGTTACATTTTTGATTTTTCTTGTTTGTAACCAATTAAAAAAGTTGATAAGCTATCAATTTACATAATCACATAATAATAGGGAAAAACTGTCAAATATGGTTGTACACAAAAAAATTTCGTGACCCAATTATATATAACCCGGGCAGTAACTGAGTTATTATTATTATTATTATTGTTTTGTTTGTTTGTTTATTTTTATTATCCTTGCATAAAAAAAAATCAATCACAGCATGTATTAAAAATATTATTTATTACATACACGCTTTTTTTCTTTGATAGAAAAAAAGATAACAGAATTTATTTGTTTTAGCTAAATCAAAAATTGATTTCAATGGAAAATTGCGCGTGAGATAAAAATAAAGAACTTTCCGCATTACGCCTCTAAAGATAATGATAATGATAATGATAAAGATAAAGTGAGAAAAAAGGCGTTTTCCAATTAAAGAACCATTTTTGATTTTGATTAATTGTCTTTAAACAAAAAAACTGGTCATTTTAAACAATTAAAATGGTGATTTCATTTGATTGATTGTTTGACAGCAAGCCCATCATCTCCACGCTTTATCTTGAACCACGTACACTTTCTAATTTTATTTCAATTGATTGTAAAAAAAACAATTATTCTGTTATCTCATTCTTTATCTTGGCGATTCGATTTCATATCATACCTGTGTATGTGCAATTAATTAATAATGATGATGGTGTTGTTAACAGATCTAAACTTAAACTAGATAATTATTTTTATATGACTTCTCTTTTGTTTTTATTGGGAAAAATTATGTTGATACTTTTCCCGATATCTTCTGATATAAAAAATTCTATGTACTTTTTGTTGTGTCCATCAATTCCATATGCACAACATTGAAATAACAAAATGGATAAATGCTATCATAATCAATTGTTACTATCAAATGTTAATTTGTACACAAAAAAATTTTTTATGCATGTTTTTTTTTTATGTTGGAGTAACACCAATTTATCTTTAAAACATTACTTGCCAATTTTATCAACTTATCATATCCCGTTTGTCACCGAAATGTTACGGGATTATTCATTCATTTATCGTTATTAGTTGATAAGAATAACATTATTTTTAGTAAATAAAAATGAATCTAGAATGATTTATATATATATTACAATATGTATAATAATAATATATACCCAAGTGAGAGTGGAGTGATGTTAATTAATAATTATTGCAAATAATAAACACTATTTTTTTACTAATAACAAATAATGGCGTATTTATGGCAAGACAATTCATTGATTTTTTAAGGAATTGGAATTGAAAATCTTTTTTATAAAAAAATACGTTTTTTACGAATTTTTTTATAAAATTTGAAGAAAATAGTTTGTTAGAAGCTCCAAGTTGCGAGCTTTATATAGGAAAAATAAAAATGATATTACATATAGATAAGATGTTTGTTATTTATATCTTAATATATTTGCAACATTTGCTGATTATTTAACAATGGAAAATGGTGTTATTTCTTAGCAAAACACATCTTCTCGTAGTGATTATGCTTACTTTCGGGTCTGTTGGATTATACTTTTATGGAAAAGATTAATTGTTGTTTTCTTATTTTGTGCGAATAAATAAAAAGATAACCCCGTTTGGTGGTTAATTAATTTGATAAGAATGAAAATGAATGCGAAAAAAGAATTAAAATTAAATGCATATTCCTTATCACTTATTTTAATTAACCTTATTTGAATATTTTCAACTCAGATCAAAACCAACCCCGAGTCGTCGTCGGTCGTTATTTTTAATTAATATCATACAAATAATTGATTCACGCAAATAAAAAATTTCCAATATCGATGTTGTCCCCTTCCTCATTTATTGCCCTGATCAATTTTTTTTATCATCAAATCTTATTGATCAAAATTATTTGTTATTTATACGGAAAAATTTTTTTTATCTTTTTTTTTTCAAAGTCAAAATAATTGATTTTTTATCAAAAAAAAATTAAAAATTCATTTTTGTTAGTAATAAAAAATAAAAAATATGGCTGCCTCTGTTGCAACACCCATCCCTAATAATTCCACCCCTAAACCCCTTTCAAAACCTACTTCTACATCCACATCTAAACAAATCAACGAACTTAAAGATGACGAAACAGATCAAAAATTATCTCCTGTAATTAATAATTATATGAAAAGATTTGGAATTGACGCAAGAGACTCCAACACTCGCGATAACTGGATTCCAAGAAACCCTAAATTAATACGATTGACAGGAAAACATCCTCTCAACTGTGAACCACCTGTTCCTTTACTATTTGAACAAGGTTTCATCACCCCAAATGATCTACATTATGTAAGAAATCATGGACCTGTTCCTAAACTTGATTGGAAAACTCACCGATTAGTCATTGACGGGTAATTATTATTTATTCAACAATAAGTTATTTATTTAAAGGGTAACGTAAAAATATCTTTAATTATTAACATTATTTATTTACTAATTCAAATATATCTCATTCACTCATTCGCTCAGGTTGGTATCCAAACAACTTACTTTATCAATGGACGATATTGTTAAATTGCCCTATCGTGAATTTCCCGTTACTTTGGTTTGTGCCGGTAATCGTCGTAAAGAACAAAACATGGTCAAGCAATCGATTGGTTTCAATTGGGGCGCTGCTGCTGTCTCCACTGCTGTCTGGCGTGGTGTATCGCTTAGTTACGTCTTGAAAATGGTTGGTTTGAGCCTTGATGCTGATTACGGTGAGGAACGTCATGTTTGTTTCGTTGGCGCTGACCGTCTACCAAACGATTACTATGGTACAAGTTTACCTTTGGATTGGTCAATGAATGAAGCAAAAGATGTCTTGTTGGCTTATCAGATGAACGGTGAAATCTTATCCCCTGATCATGGTTACCCGTTACGTGTAATAATCCCAGGTGTTATTGGTGGTCGTATGGTCAAATGGCTCAACAGAATTACCATCACAAACAAAGAATCAAACAACTACTACCACTATAACGACAATCGTCTCCTGCCACCAAACGTTGATGCTGAACGTGCAACCAAAGAAGGTTGGTGGTACAAACCTGATTATATCATCAACGAGTTAAACATCAACTCTGCAATTGTATCACCTGATCATGACGAAACATTATCAATCTCAAGTTTCAAAAGCGATTCCGAGTACAAGTTAAAAGGTTATGCATATAGTGGTGGAGGTCGTAAAGTTACACGTGTGGAGATTAGTTTGGATGACGGCAAAACTTGGTCATTAACCGATTTAGAACATCCTGAACTTAATCATCCTGCGGTCGTCAATAGACGTCAGAGACCGCTTCGTAATCATTGGTGTTGGATTTTTTGGTCATTCTCAGTACCTGTTCATAAATTAATCGAGTCCAAGGAAATCCTTGTACGTGCTTGGGATTGTTCAAATAACACCCAACCATCTCACCTAACTTGGAATGTCATGGGAATGATGAATAATTGTTATTTTAGAGTCAAGATTAATATTATTGTCAAGGGTAGAGATGTTGCTTTGAAATTTGAACATCCAACACAAGCCGGGCCCAATCCTGGTGGTTGGATGGTAAAGAAATCAGAATCGCAACAACCATCTTCACCTTCACCTTCATTAGCTATTAAAGAAATTAAAGCTAGCGATGATAATAATAATAATAAAAAATTGATCAAAGCATCTGAAGTAGAAAAACACACAGAGGAGGATGATTGTTGGATTATAGTTGAGAATAAAGTTTATGATTGTTCAAAATACCTTAATGATCATCCTGGTGGTTTGGATAGTATTCTCATCAATGCTGGTAGTGACTGTACCGAAGAATTCACGGCAATTCATTCTGACAAAGCTAAAAATTTAATAAAACAATTTTACATTGGCGATCTTGATCAATCAGAAAATAGTGCGATAATACCAGATGCAACAATATCAACTACCACAACAATTGCACCTATCGAAACAACACCTAAAATAATAGAAGAAGAGTTACCACTAGCTTTGGATCCAAAAACTTGGCTCAAATGTCCTTTACTTTCAATTAAAGTACTTAGTCATGACACACGTATTTATAGGTTTAAACTTCAGAGTGACAAACATTTATTCGGTTTGCCACCAGGAAAACATATATTCATAAGAGCAAATATCGACAACAAATCAACAATAAGAGCTTATACACCAATCACAACTCCAAATGATCCACCCGGTTATTTTGATTTGCTAATTAAAGTCTACTTCAAAAATGTACATCCTAAATTTCCCGATGGTGGTGCAATGACACAATATCTTGATTCGTTATCAATAGGCGATTCAATCGAAGTCAAAGGACCACTTGGTTCATTTTCATACTGTGGAGCTGGTAAATATCAACTCAAAAGCGGAAAGAGTCCCACTTTACACAGTTGTAAGAGGATTTCAATGATAGCTGGAGGTTCAGGAATTACACCAATTTATCAAGTTATCAAATCTGTTATACATGATAACGATGATAACACCGAACTAGCATTAATATATGCTAACAAAACTGAAGATGACATTTTATTAAGAAAAGAATTAGATGAGATAACATCCAAACATCCAAATATTAAAATATTTTATACATTGGATAATCCTACTAAAGATTGGAAATATGGTAAAGGATTCGTTTGCGAGCAAATGATTCGTGATAATTTATATCCACCATCATCTGATTCTGAATCTATAGTTTTAATGTGTGGTCCTCCTCCAATGATAGAATATGCTTGTATTCCAAATCTAAAGAAATTCGGTTTTAAAGAAACTGAATATTTCAAATTCTAAAATTTTCACACATGTAATATATATATATTTATGATTTTATAAACATGCATATGATTCGTCATTTTTTACATTTAACCATTCTTACATTCTCATTTTTAAACATTCATCATTTTTTTTATTTCTCATTAAAATTAGATTTATGTTTTTTTTTTTTTTGATAAAATTTATTTATTATAAAATAAAAAAATTTGCTGGCAAATCATTTCTCAGTCATAATTAAATCCATAAATAAGAAATATCATCATCATCATCATCATCTAATTTCTTCTTGATCATTATTTACTGAATCGATTGCTATGTTTCTTTTCCAATAAAATGTCCAATACCGAGCGTCGTCCTTTTTTTTCTTCAACTAACACTCACATTTCTATTTACCGAAACATCTTCTTCGTTGACTTCATCTTGATCAGGTATTACGAGAGAGATAACAACAAAACAATTTTCATTGATATTGATATGGAATTACTCTTAATATTAATAATGAATCCGAAATAATAGTGATAGTGATAATAATAGTAATAGCAGCCGAAATTATATGCAAACAAATTTTTTAAGGTTTGTTTGTGTTTGTATAGGATCTTCGGATTATTATAATTCAATTCAATTTGATAAAAAATTTTTTGAAGTTAGGTAAATAATACTGCAATACAATGTTGTGGTGTTCTATGGCTGTTGATCATCAAACACATGTTTACATCAATATATACTATTGTGTAAATGTTGACAACAAACAATATATTTTTTTGAAAACATGAATTATAAAAAGAAATTTCTTAATTTATGTAAATTTTTATGGTAAAATTCAATAATAAATTGAATAATTTTAAACCATGATAACTTTTTTTTTTTATAATAAAATTAAACAAAACTTTTTATAATTTTATTTGTTTGTCTTCTATAATAAAGTTACAGAGAGCTTTTTTCCCTATCTCATTCGGTTATAAAGTTTTCCTATTAGCAACCTTTTTTCAATTTCTTTAGGATATATAAAAAAAATTTTTTTTATTTAGCAAAAAAAAAACTCTCCGTAACCTAAAGCTTAATCTATTTACTATGATTTCCCTTAGTTTCATGTCTGCATCTCTTTATTTGAAAGCTCTGATACAATTTTTATTTATATAGTTTTTATATATATTCAAAAAAAGTTTGTTATTTGATCAGCATCTCACACCCCAATACAATATGTATGTTTTACGATGACAATGATTGCTAAAAATTACATTTATTTTTTTATACCAAAAATCATTATTTTAGTGTGCATATCAAAATTTCAAATTTCAAAATAAATAAAAATTCCAAAGATATGACAATTGAATTATTACCTTTATATAATATCATTATTAAATATAAACTTAAAATTCATCTATATCTAAATCAATCTGCTGAGAATCTAAAAAATTATTTATATATTAATAATTAAATCAATAAAAAGTAAAAGTAATCAATGATTAAATGTTAATAATTCCCTTATAATTACCAATGATTGTCACTTTATTGGAATTCACAGGTTGTGGAAGGCTTGTAAATTTTAATAATCTGCTAGTATAAACAGCATTTGGATGAATCGTTGCAGTAATTGTTGAAGGATCAAACTTTTTTTCATCCATTTCATCAAACACTTTTCTAATTGATTTTAATTCATCCGGCTGTTCTTTTGGATAATCCCCATAATAAAGTGATTCAACCCAAATCCCAATAATCTTATCAATTTCTTTGGCAGTTGGACGTTTATCTGGATTAGCATCCATGCATCTGAATGCTAATTCAATATAAAATCTTGGAGTGTTGTTTGAAAATCCAGGTCTTACACCTTCACATATTTTCATTGCAAGGCCAAAATCATGTGCAAAATTATTAAAAGGTTGTTGACCGGTTGATACTACAGACATCAGAACTCCAAAACTATATATATCTGATGCTTTTGTATATGATTTCTCTCTTAAAACTTCTGGTGCAACATATGGTAGTACTCCAAATACATCATTTTTGTTTGATGCAGATGCTTGACTAGCTGGGCATGATAATCCCAAGTCTGTAATATACGAACCCCATTTACCCTTTTGAAGAATATTACCACTATGAAGATCATGATGAATAATTTCCTCTTTATGAATATCTATTAAACACCTAATGATGTTGTAAAGAATATTAATTTTGTCATGCCATGTTAAATTTTTAAAATTTCCAGTTAGATAACTTTGAAGACTTCCATCTTTTATGTATTCCATTACAAATATATATTCCTTTATAATTGGATCTTGTGATAATCCATAAATATGAATTATATCTGTATTATTATAGAATTTTGTATAATTTTTGAACTAAAATAACAAATAAATATTTAATTACAATAATAATAATCAATAATATTTTAAAAACAAATTACCTCGTTAAGAAACTCATCAAAAGTATTCTGTGAATTATGTAGTTTTTTTAATGCCACAAGTATATCTTTACTAGTTCTTTCATTATTTTCACGATTTACACTTTTACCACCATTTAACCAAGTAGCTTTGGATATAGTTGAAAACCCACCTTCACCTATCTTTTCAATATTTGTTAAATCATTAT